CGGGAGAGGTATGAGGTCAAGTGGAGTGATCGGATTGAATCCGTAGACTACCTCAAATGGGGAGTGTTTAGTGGCCGAGTGGACAGCCCTGTTGTAAGCAAACTCGATATGCGGTATACACTGATGAGGACATCGGACCTAGCAGCTTGGAGGAGGACGGGAGCATAACGGAAGAAGCTCTTGAAGACGGGAGCTTAACGGAAGGAGCTCTTGAGGACGTTGAAGACTTGGCCCATCAGGCGTCAAGACTCGTGCCGGATGATCATAACGTCACAAGATCATTCGAAGCCGCGAGAACGGGAATTGACGTGCACCACGCGAAGGCTTCCCGAGCAAACCATAGAGCCGAACCACCAATCACTCGTGCTAGAGCTCGAGCGCTTCGTGTCACACTCAACAAAGCCGTCAACGACGTTCTTAGCGGATCCCGGGAGTCTAATGACAACACTTCACTCTTCGGACGCAATTCGGCCCGGAACTTGCTTACACTCGCGGAAGATATTTCCTAAAGCCCAAGTGAAGCCCATGGGCTTTCTCCTAGCAAGATTTTCGGCCCACATAAAGCTCCAACAGCCATATTATTGTTATTTGGTCCACATTAACTCTAAGGCTTGCATGTAAGCTAGCATTTATTGTTTGTTTACTTAAACCCTTTCTCATTTGTAATCTTCAGCACACTTTGATCAATCTTAGCATTTTGAACTTTGTTTGAGACATTTTCTCTCTCAAAATCTTGGCTGGTTCGTCCGCCTCCCTTGCACGAGTCGCCGGTGAGTCCGCTGCCCGTGTCGCCGTCCGGTGTGTCCGACGGTCCCTCGTCGAGCTCGGTTAGTCCGGCTCCTCCTCCTTGGTTTGTCCGAGGATCTATCCATCTCCATCTCTTTTGAAACGATTTCGAATTCGAGAGCCACCTCGTGAGCCGGTGATTGAAATCGTTTCCCCGTAACCCCACTTCGATTCCCCCTTGTTCTCCCGTGAATTCGAGCGCCACCTTCGTGAGCCGGTGATTGCGGTTGAACTCCCCTTCGTCCATCCTCCTCGTGCGTACATCAGGTACGGAGAATGGAGTGGCTGACCACTTATCTCGGATTGAGCGACGTGAGGAAGTTCCCATTGATGATTGTCTCCGAGATGATTGTGTGATGGTTGTGTAGGTAAAAGAGAGGGATCCATGGTATGCGGACTATGTGAATTTTATTGTCAGTGGCTATATTCCTCACGAGCTTGATTATAACGGGAGGAAGCGGTTCTTCAGAGATGTCAAAGAATATTTCTGGGAAGAACCCTTCCTTTTCAAAAGAGGCAAGGATGGACTCTTTAGGCGATGTATTCCCGAAGAGGAAGTCCAAGGCGTGATTCATCATTGTCATTCTTCGGACTATGGAGGTCATTTCGGAGCGTCGAAAACCGCAGCGAAAATTCTTCAAGCCGGGTTTTATTGGCCTTCAATGTTTAAGGAGGTTCACCAATACGTCTCTTCTTGCGATGCTTGCCAAAGGACCGGGAATATATCACGCCGCCACGAGATGCCTCAGCACTACATCTTGGAAGTTGAGCCCTTCGATGTTTGGAGAATCGACTTCATGGGGCCATTCCCGTCTTCCTTACATTCTAGTGGCGGTAGACTATGTCACCAAGTGAGTAGAAGCGATGGCGAGTCCCACTAATGACTCGAAGGTGGTGACTAAGATGTTCAAGAGGGTGATCTTTCCAAGATTCGGGACGCCAAGGGTCGTGATCAGTGATGGAGGATCTCACTTCATCAACCGCACCATCGAAGCTCTTTTGAAGAAGTATGGTGTGAAGAATAAGGTGGCTACCCCGTATCACCCTCAAACGAGCGGGCAAGTTGAAATCTCAAATAGGGAGGTCAAGACGGTACTTGAGAAAACGGTATCAAGGTCAAGGAAAGATTGGGCGATGAAGCTTGACGATGCTCTATGGGCGTATAGGACAGCCTTCAAGACACCCATCGGTATGTCTCCCTTCCAACTTGTTTATGGGAAGGCTTGTCACCTTCCATTTGAGCTTGAGTATAAAGCTCTTTGGGCGATCAAGAAGCTGAATTTTGATTGGAAATCGGCCGCGGAGAAGCGGATGTTAGAGCTTCATGAGCTTGATGAGATTCGGATGGATGCGTATGAGAATGCCCGAATCTACAAGGAGAGGACGAAGAAGTGGCATGATCGTCGCGTATTACAGAGAGTATTCAGAGATGGCGACCAAATACTCCTCTTCAACTCTCGATTTAAGCTCTTCCTCGGAAAACTAAAATCGCGTTGGTCGGAACCGTTCACAATCAAGAAGGTTTATTCTCATGGAGCGGTAGAGTTATACGGTCATGGAAGAACTACATTTAAAGTGAATGCTCAAAGGTTAAAGGTCTATAACCCTGGAGAACGAAACATGGGGAGAGACATGTTGCGCCTCTCTGATCCAGCTGAGGAATAGGAGTAGACATGGTCAAGCTTAAGACCCTAAACAAGCGCTCTCGGGAGACATCACAAGCTTGTATATATCTTTTTTCGTATCCTTTTTGCATTGCATTCCTTTTCATCTAGGATCATTTAGATGTCCCCCCTCTTTGATGGATGTTCTCTCTTGGTATTAAGATAAAAATTTGAGGATGGGCTTGAGTTGCTTGATGTGCAGGGAGAAGAAGGAAGCGGAAAAACGGACAGATTTCCTGCCCAGGGTCCAGGACCGATCGGTCCAGACAGGGACCGGTCGGTCCATGTAGTCGACCCAGGCAATCGGTCCGCCAAAAAAGAAATGGCGGAAGATTGACGTAGACCGATCGGTCCAGTACGTGGACCGATCGGTCCACGCGTTCCAGCAACTCGCGAGACCGACTATAACATGTAAGGAGAGAGCTCGGTCCACAATTTCGGTCTTCGCCTCTCACAGCCTCACTCACCGCCATCCAAGCCGCCGGAGCGAACCCACCACCACTGCGCTCTGTCTCTCTCCCCCTCTCATCTTGCTCTCTTTCTGTAATACCCCGAAACCCGATTTGAATATTTAATTATTAAAAATGAATAATTAAATAGAGATATCACGAAATCACCAAAAGTGATGGAACAATATCGGGGAGAGGCACGAGGATCGTCACGTGCGGAAAGGACCGAGAAAGAATGAAGAAAACGAAAAGAAAGAAAAAAAATAAAAAAATAAAAAAATAAAATACAGGGTTGGTCCGCCGGACCAGGAATGGTCCGCGGCGGACCAACCGCTCAGTCGGAGTGGGAACGGAGCGCACGGACTGGGGAAAAGATTGCAAAAAAAAAAATATATGACCCCGGTCCG